ATTTTATTTTATTCTATATTTTTATATTTTTATTTCTACATTGTATGGCCTTTCTTGTTTCTCATAGAAGTGTTGTGTTGTGCACCTAACACCAAATCAAATTCCTTGTAGGTGAAAAACCTACTTGGCAATAAACCTTATTCTGATTCTGATTCTGATTCTGATCTCACCACTGACTCTGATCAGGGTTTCTCCTCTGTATAGCTTATTGTCATAGTGATGAGAAATGGAATATTGTGTCTACTCTGTAAGTCGCTTTGGAGAAAAGCGTCTGCCAAATGCACAAACAGAAACATAAACACAAACACAAACAATACACATGCGCATGACTTCAGATTTTCGCATGCCCCGTCAGACCAGCATACCCATACTCTTTATCTGTCCTATATTTTTATTTCTACATTTTATTTCTTGCTTCTCATAGAAGTTTTGTGTTGTGCACCAAACACCAAGGCAAATTCCTTGTAAGTCTAAAAACCTACTTAGCAATAAACCTTATTCTGATTCTGATTCTAATATGCATGCGCAACATCTAGCATCAATTAATCTGTATCCAAGATGAAAAGTAGCGAACACTTGGAGAAGCCGACAGATCGCCATACCTTTCGAAAAACACCCAAAAATAAGTAATTAAATTATTTTTTTGTACGTAACAGAAGGGATACAAGCCTGTTGAGGTAGTTTACAGTGTATTTTTCTTACAAAACTAAAGGGATACACGCGCGTTGAGGTAGTTTAAAGTGTATTTACAGAAGGGTCTAGCTGCACCTGCAGACACGTCCCGTACAAAACAGCCAATCGTTGATTTTGATTTGGACATTACGTCATCTTGGATACAGATTAATTGAAGTGAATCAAACGTGAGCATGATGCTTACTACCAGCAGGGTTGTAGTTAGCACATAAAAAAGTAATGATAATCTTGTTCAATGTTGGGATTAAAGGAACAGTTCAATCGATGATCAAATTGATGTACAATTTTGCCACGTATTTTATTTGCTTATATCTTCTAATTTTTCCAGGGACTGCACACGCTTTAAATACGAAATTGTTAGAAATAGCATTTCTAAGTTAATTTGTAAACAAAAGTACTTGACTTTCGGTGTGGTTTTCTGGTAAGTTTGTGTGTTTACCTTAAACTACAACCTTTTGTTTACCATATCACGCATAAATAAAGTAGTCTAGGAAACTTCGTCAATGTTAATCTCTTAGATTTCTGCTAAAGGTAGCGCATGCATATTAACTATGGGTATGCTGGTCTGACCCCCCGACACCTGAAACCCCCCGGGGAGACACTCACGTTGTTGGTGGGAGACAGGTTGAAGATGATCTCAGAGTTCAGGGACCTGGTCTTCAGTTTCCCAACGGTCTGCAGGTGGAAAGCTTTGTTGGCCGCAACCAGGACCTGGAACTGATCCACTAGCTGGAGACAGGAAATGATAGATAGATAGATAGATAGATAGATAGATAGATAGATAGATAGATAGATAGATAGATAGATAGATAGATAGA